CAAAACTCATTGTTCAAGGATTTATAAAAAGCTTAATATTCAGCTGCCTCTACCATCCCCTAGTTTCTCATCCTGAGACTATAGAGGAACTCCACCCTAAATTATATCACTTTCATAAACTCAAGTATGATCAAAAGAGAATTCTCAGGAATAACAAAAGACACTTATTCAGGAAATGTCAAAGGTTTTAGGTGCTCTGTGCCAGGCAGCAGGGGCAAAGACCAAATATTTGTTATTATAACACATTTTTTCAGGAAGTTTACCAACATTTCATGCTACTGAAGTAATAACTTATAAAATAATGTTGTGTATATTATAATATTTTCTTTTTCACAAGATGGAAAGTGTGTAAAGTGGATCCTGTATGACAGAATTAGTCACAATAGTAAAAGGGTTATGTACTTGAAATACACGAGTTCTGTAAATTTCCTAAAGTGTTGTTTTGGGAAGGATAGCATCTTGGTCCATTCCTACTGATATAACAAAATACCTTAAACTAAGTAGTCTATGAACAACAGGAATTTACTGCTCCCAGTTCTAGAGGCTGGAACCTCCAAGATCGAGGTACCCGCAGATTCAGTATCTGGTGACAGCTCTCTCCCAGCTTCAAAGATGGTGCCTTGTTGCTGTGCCCTCACATGGCAGAAGGAGCAAATCGGCTCCCTCAAGCCTTTTTTTATCAGGGCACTAACCCTATTCATGGGGGCAAAGCACTCATAACATAATCACCTTCTGAAGGTCCAGACTCTGAATATTATTACATTGGGTATTAGGTTGCAACATATGAGTTTTGGCAGTACCTCAACATTCATACCAAAGCATATGGGACAGAAGAAGATGTAAGAGAACTCAGGAAAGAGTATTATGTCAGCCTGGTTAAAAACAGACTGTAATCACAACAGCCTGAGCTTGACTCTTCCACTTACTAGCCTGTGGCTTTGGGCAAGTTACATGACCTATCTGTCCTTCAGTTTCCTCATTTGTTTAATGGGCCAATAATAGTTGCTATTTTATTCACTTCCTATGCATAATGAGAAACTTTAAAATAAAAAAAAAAATTTAAAGAGCAGCTGTCACATAGAAGGCATTCAATTCGTATTATCTGCTATATTATTATTATTTAGAATTTATTTTATAAATTCAATCATATGCCCCAAAAATAACTCATTGAGGTAGGTTTTGCTATCTACATTTCATAGATGAGGAAACTAAAGATCAGACACCTTAAATAACTGATTCAGAGGTCACATAAATTGTAGGTTGTAGTGTGAGAGTTTAAACCCTGCCCTTTTTGGCATAAACTCTCTTTCCTCTGCAGCTGTGGAAGACGCTGCCTACCATATTTTCTCTTGTTACCCTCCTTTCACATCCATTGCCATCCCTTGTCTAATCTGTCCAGACTCTTCAACTGATAATGGCACTGGTAATCATTTAAGCCTGTCTACTTTCTTTCATAGATTTTAAATTTGAATCTTTGTAAAAGATCTTAAAGATTGTTTTCTATACTTTATTTTTAGACAAGGAAACAGAGTCTGATAGGTTAAGAGACAAGCACTGTGAATATGATGGCAGTTTGTGACTAGGGCAGGACTGGAACACAGGTCCCCTCACTTCTTGTTTACTGCATATTTCTTTTATTATTTGTAGTCATCTCCATACCTACAGACTACTACTCTGGACATGTTTATTTCCATGCAATGTCAAAGATAAGATTGTTTATGTTGCTTCAGATGAAACAACATAAGATGCACTGGTTTGATGGTTCTTTTTTTCCAAGTCAGATTCTGAATGACTATGTTCTTATGCTTACAACACTTACATGTCTGATTTTGATCTTTGCATGGATGCATTTATTTATTTTTATTTTTAAAATATTTAATTGTTTAAAGCTGTTTTAGGTGTACAGCCAAACTAAGTAGTAAGTGCAGAGGGTCCTCATATACTTCCTGCCCCTACACATACAAACCTCCCCCACTATTACAGAGCTGTGCATTCATTACAATCAATAAAGCTACATTAACACATCATTATCATTCGAAGTGCATTGTTGATATTAGGGTTCACGGTTGATTTTCTATGGGTTTGACAAATGTATAATGACATGTATCTACCATTATAGTATCATACAAAATAATTTCACTGCCCTAAAAATCCTCTGTGCTCTGCCTATTCATCCCCCATTCTTCCACCGATCCCTGGTTTGTATTTACTTTAACCATCTATTTTTCCTTTTGCTTTGGCCTAAGGGAAAACAATTCTGCTTTGACTTATAAGGCATACTGTAAGTCATCTCCATACTTGTAGGTTTTTCTCACTTGCTGAAGAGCAATTGCTTGGCTTGTTCAGAATTGACACACCATACTTGACATTGGAGGACACCAGTTGGGATACCTCAAAATTATTTTTGTGAGTGAGTGTTATGCACTCAGATATGACAGTAGGTAGATTATTAAGTATTTATTGAACGAGTAACCACTATCGTTAATATATTGATAGATAACTGCAGTTTCCAGATTGAATGTAGTCCTCAAATGGGAACAAATGTTCACCAGGCAGAAAGAATAACAATGGCCATTGTAAAGCATCTCATAATGTGACTTTATTTGCAAATGGTGTCATTACAGAGTTAAAATGAGACCATGCTGGAGTACAGTGACCCCTAATCTTACTGGTATCCTTCTAGAAAGGATAAAATTGGGCATAGCTAGGCACACAAGGTTTCTCCATGGAATGACAAAGTCAAGAGCCTACAGGGAGATGGAAGCAATATAAATGAGTGAAGTGGAACAGAATTGTGGCAGGATGGATTAGTAGGTTCTGTGGCAAAATGAAAAGTGACTTCCCTACCTAAATGGCATTACTATTGGGAAGTAAAGTGGGGTCAGTGTTGCCTGATGATCTGATTTTTCAAGAGGAACTTGAAAGCCAACAATTTTATGTAAAATAGCTGATTTTTAAAAAAACATTTCCGCTGTGGCTTATGCTTGTAATCCCAGAACTTTGGGAGGCCGAGGCAGATGGATTGCCTCAGGTCAGAAGTTCGAGACCTGCCTGGCCAACATGGTGAAACCTTGTCTTCACTAAAAATACAAAAAAATTAGCTGCGTACGGTGGCAGGCGCCTGTAATCCCAGCTACTCGGGAGGCTGAGGCAGGAGAATCGCTTGAACCTGGGAGGTGGAGGTTGCAGTGAGACAAGATCACGCCATTGCACTCCAGCCTGGGCAACAAGAGCAAAACTACATCTAAAAAAAAAAAAAAAAAAAAAAAAAACAATTTATTTTCTAAAATATTATGCAGGCCGAATAAAGAGAAAATCATAAATATTTCCTAAAATTTTACGACCAAATTTTTTTTAGAACAAAACTAGCATTCCACAGAATACTCTTTGGGACCCTCTGAAAATGGGATGATTGCATAATTTTAATACAAAATAATAAATTATAAAATTTTTAAGGATTACATATTGTTACCTTGCATCTCAATGTGTTGTCTAAAGATGAGAATTTAACAAGTTCCAAGGTAACTACTATGTCTGTTAAGCTTGAGGCACTGTTCTATAATACCCAGGCAAATATTTGCCAGTGAGATTTTAATCTGTGGAAAATTAAAGTCTTTCCCTGGGATATATCAGCCATATAAGATCCCTCACTCTGAGGGAAAAAAAATAAGTATTTTTACCTTACTGCCTGATCTCTTGTCTTTAGCAGAACTCACACCCAGCATACTACACACATAGACAAGAACACTCATCTGGGGCTAAAGAAAAATGAAAAATTGGTCCAAATTAAGATTTCTTCTTTTTAGAGGTAGGAGAAAAAAAAATGAGTCATAATAGCATCAACAGAGCAATGGATTGGGAAAGAAATTCAAAATATAAGTGAGATAGTTTCTAGAAAGTGGCCTAAAAGATGGAGGCTATGTTGTTTTTTTTTTTTTTTGTAGACTAGATAACCAACAATTTTGTTTTCCGTTTTTTTTTTTCATGTTTTAATATATATTTTCTTTTTTTTTTAATTATTATTATACTTTAAGTTCTAGGGTACATGTGCATAACGTGCAGGTTTGTTACATATGTATACTTGTGCCATGTTGCTGTGCTGCACCCATCAACTCGTCAGCACCCAACTACTCGTCATTTACATCAGGTATAACTCCCAATGCAATCCCTCCCCCCTCCCCCCTCCCCATGATAGGCCCCAGTGTGTGATGTCCCCCTTCCCGAGTCCAAGTGATCTCATTGTTCAGTTCCCACCTATGAGTGAGAACATGCGGTGTTTGGTTTTCTGTTCTTGTGATAGTTTGCTAAGAATGATGGTTTCCAGCTGCATCCATGTCCCTACAAAGGACGCAAACTCATCCTTTTTTATGGCTGCATAGTATTCCATGGTGTATATGTGCCACATTTTCTTAATCCAGTCTGTCACTGATGGACATTTGGGTTGATTCCAAGTCTTTGCTAGTGTGAATAGTGCCGCAATGAACATACGTGTGCATGTGTCTTTATAGCAGCATGATTTATAATCCTTTGGGTATATACCCAGTAATGGGATGGCTGGGTCATATGGTACATCTAGTTCTAGATCCTTGAGGAATCGCCATACTGTTTTCCATAATAGTTGAACTAGTTTACAATCCCACCAACAGTGTAAAAGTGTTCCTATTTCTCCACATCCTCTCCAGCACCTGTTGTTTCCTGACTTTTTAATGATTGCCATTCTAACTGGTGTGAGATGGTATCTCATTGTGGTTTTGATTTGCATTTCTCTGATGGCCAGTGATGATGAGCATTTTTTCATGTGTCTGTTGGCTGTATGAATGTCTTCTTTTGAGAAATGTCTGTTCATATCCTTTGCCCACTTTTTGATGGGGTTGTTTGTTTTTTTCTTGTAAATTTGTTTGAGTTCTTTGTAGGTTCTGGATATTAGCCCTTTGTCAGATGAGTAGATTGCAAAAATTTTCTCCCATTCTGTAGGTTGCCTGTTCACTCTGATGGTAGTTTCTTTTGCTGTGCAGAAGCTTTTTAGTTTAATGAGATCCCATTTGTCAATTTTGGCTTTTGCTGCCGTTTGTTTTCCGTTTTAAGGTGCAGGTGATTGGTGTATGAATACGATACTTTTTAATATCCAACATTCTGCCAATAGTGCAAAGTTGGCCAATGACCAAAAACCCAAAATGATCTCAGGAGGACTGACCCAGATGGAAGAATCCAGAAATTGTCATTTATATATATTTTAATTAATTAATTTATTTATAAAGCATAAAACATCAGCCAGTGGAGTTTAGCAGCTACCCATATCAGAATTAGGAGAATGGACAATTTGTTAGTCATCTAGTTCAAAGACCAGACAAAACTCCATGATATATACTTCAAAATGATATCTAGTGGACTATGTGCAGATATGTATCTATTACACGATTTGATTGCAATATATCCAAATGAATGTTGTATTTTAATTAAATGGGCATAAAAGTTATCTTTCAAAAGACCACTTTAAAAAATGCTGAAAATTTCCAGGTAGACATTTCTCAAGTTGAACAGTTTTATAGTGTAATATCTTCTATGCCCGAATTTTTCTCTCTAGGCTGAGTTAACACTATGTAAATGATTTAGGGTGACAAATGGCAAAATATATACTTTCTGCATATGATACATATTTGCTATTGGTATTAAAATAAAACTTAGTGGAAGATAGCAGGAACATCTTCAATAATATTTGACTCATCTCAAAACCAACCTAACCACTGTTAGACTGACTTTATGAAATATCTTCAGTCATTTGATTGTGTAACTGAACTCTTCTGCTAGCTAACTCTTTCCATTGAATGCAAATAATAGTTACTAAGTTACCATAGGAATCCAGAGGGTTATAGGGATTTCTATTTGGCATGTAGTATAACTGGAGTTTATCACTGAGGTTAAGATAGCTTTGTCAGCCTCTCCTCACTACTCTTTCTGCTCTAAAACATGAGCACTAAATGCTGTTAACCATCTTATTTTGCTGTCCATTGGACAGGGAACTGACACTATCACTCAACCACCAGCGAAGCAAGAAAAAATAAGAAAGAGGAACCTTCAGAAGAAGAGTTAGCTTGCCATCTGATACTTTCTTTGTCTGGAGGTTTGTTTTTAGAGAAGATGGTAAATAAATGTTTCTTATTGGTTGGTTTGAATGAAGCCATTGAATTCTCTTTTATCTAAGTATATTTGTCAGAATTGATCCAAAGGCAGAGAAGGGACTCTTGAAATGTGAGATCTAAATTACGTAGTTCTTAAGATGATTATTATGTATAAGTGTGATTATTTGTGTTTAAGGGCTATACAGGGCCAGCAACAGGGATGGAAACAGGAACATAATCTGTTAGCATCTCAAAGAATACTTAATGTCACTTTACTTATTATTCCTCACCCTCTTTATTTCCTACTAGAAAAACGAAAATTATGGCATTCATACCAGTTCTGATGAGAACTAAGGTCAAGACAAATAAGTATTTTCTCAGACCTTTGAAATACTATACATGAACTGACAACGTTCTCTCAAGAAAAATTCTTTCTTAGGACTCAAAAATTCAATGGCAATGCATTCTCATTTTTTAAAATGGTGAGCTATATAAACCAAGTTTTTCTACCAACCTTTTCAACCATGTTGGAAGGCTTCCCGGTGTATTCCTCCCGAGCAAGGGAGGCCGATCGTACCTAAGTGGTCTCCAGATGCCAGAATACTCCGTCTGACCTGGCGACATCTACTCTTGCATTCGTTGGAATGGCATTTTCTGGGTCATCAAACGTGCCCATTCAAAATTGCTAAAATGTCAGTTCTTTTGTTGGGGTTTCTCCAACGCTACTTTACTTCCCTAGCCACCTTGTTGGGAAACAGCTGGGAGATGTTGGCTTTATCCAAATGTGTCAAATTGAATATTGAATCAGCAAGGTCTGTAAATGTTTATTATTGAATTCCAGCAGATCTCATAGGCTTTGATTCTGTATCCAGGGTATGAACAACTCACCCTCTTTCCTTAGATTAGACACATAGAATTTTGTGTCACTGCTTGAAATGAAACAGGAGACTGCTGTACACACAAGATAAAGTAGTGGGCCCAAAGTGATTTTTTTTTCATCCTGATGAAGTGTACTGCGTGTTCTGGAATTGCTGCATCTTTTTCCCTCTCATGGTAAGGGGAATGTCCAGCAGCATCATAAAAGCCCCGCATAACAACAACAAAAACAGCATCTTTCTGGTGCAAGATTGGTTTGACATTTTCTTTGTTCATTTGCTCTGCTCTGAAAATATCTTCAATGTGGCAGAACTTCCTTATTCTTATCAAAATTGTGAAAGGAGTCAGTAAAACATTCCTTGGCGAAACAAATTATAGTAAATGTGCACAAAACCAGGCGCTTAATTGTATGTTGTCTTCTATGACATTTTTTTTTTTTTCAGAAGCAAATATAGTTCTTATTAAAATGTCTTCTAAGAGAGCATGGTGTTTACTGTGTTTCTAAGGTAATGTTTTTGTTCAGTTGCTGTAATTTCCACAAATGATACTGAAAAAAGTGAAGAAGATGAATCAGTGGATAAGGATGTCCTCTTTCTCTTAAGATGAGCTTATATAGTTCTTTCAAGAATTACTAAACAGAAGTCCATCTTAATTTGCACAAAAGCAGATTTTTGCCTTTCATCTGCTGTATCAGAGAAGCAGAGGTCTTCATAAGTAACTTTCAGTAAGTGTTTTTGTGAATGATAAAACTTCTTTTCTCCCTCTTTCTCCATCTTAGTGGCAAACATTTTGACACCATTCTGAAAATTATGGAAAATAAGCAGAAAGGAAAAACAGACACTGTGTGACACTGTCAAAAATCCCCGGGCATTTCAAAATGTTAGCTCTGCATGAAGGAATATGTATTTATCTAATTTCACACTTGGATAGTGAATCATTAATCCAGAATGAAAATGGACATTTTGCTTCTCAGGATTTCCCCTTTCTTTTAAAGTAGCCAATCACACAGCTTAATTTTTCATCACTTAAACAAAGAAACAGTAATTTGAAAATTATTTCTTGTACATCTCATTTTTCCACAAGCACTCTAATTAGACCACATGAAATATGAAGCTATTTACACATCTGTCCAATATAACTATTTGTCATTCCCCTATTTGACCTTGATTTTGTGGCTCTTTATTCTCTACTACTGTTTATTTTCTTGTAGAATTAGAAAAAAATCTAATTTTTAAACAAAACATTACATGGTTCTCAACCTTTTAGATTTCTTAGTATTTGAAATCCTTTTAGATTTCTTACTATTTTAAATATCGAGGAAAGCAAATTTGATTTTGTTTCCTTTACATTGTGAGAACATGTGTGGCCAGATGATGGCATGATATATGTGTTAATAGCTACCCTTTTGTAACTGCTACATTTAGCCTTATAACAAATTATTGAATAATCCAATTACTATTTCTCAAATAAATAAAATGACATTTGCAGAATCAGAAAACCCATAATTAATAAATATTTTCTGTTCATCAGTGAGATTATGTGGTTGAAATAGCTAACTGACATATCAAGTAAGATAGACTAAACAATTTTTAATATATTTAATGATAAAAATGTGCGTGTATGTGTGTTTCTGTGCCTTAACAAGAAGGATTTCAAGGATCTCTTCAAGGTCAATGAACTAAAAAGCATTACATAAGGGTTCAAACACAGGTTTAACAACACATATTGTCTTTGAAATCAGATATATTTCAAGAATCTCTAGACTTCTGCTGTTCAATAATTGTCTATGGGTCAACAGTAGTTCATTAACTTAATAGCAGTTCATTAACTTAAGCAATCCAGAAATTTTCTGTAGAAACACATGATAATAACGCAACAACATGTAAATACAAATACAAACAAATCAAAATAATTCATTTCGTGATCTAATAGCATTAAGCAACTACTCCTACCCCATGGCATACACATGCCTGCAGCTGGTAGATGCTGGGGTAGCAAGCTCGAGTCAGTCGGTAGTTGAAATTCAAACTCAATGAATTTCAGTAGTTGTAATGCAAGTTCAATGAATTTAATTATATCTTTTAATCTGTTCTTTTTAATGTTCAGCTATGATATCAGTGTGTGTAAGGAATTATGCCAAATATAGAGCTTTTAAAATTTAATATTGTTAATCTAATTAATTAAAATTTAATCCAAGAAAAGAAAGCATGTGGCATCATGTATGTGTTTTTCTTAATAAGTGCTTTAATTTTTTCAGTTGAATGACACTGCTATTACAGAATCTTTTAGAATATCAATATCCTTATCCTTAACTCCCCTTTTGCTATAATACCTCGTTAAAACACACACACGCATACACACACACACACTTTTTTATTACTAAATACATTAAAATCATTTCATCTTTACCTTAATCGGTATGTCAGTTTGCTATTTCAACCACGGAATTTCATTGGCAAAGATTGAAAATATGTATTAATTATGGGTTTTCTAAGCTTGGCTGGAGTGACTTGACTCTGCCACTCAGCAGTCTCTTAAAGTCCCACAATGTTCAGTCTCACATTTCCTTCTCTGAGAATGCATAGTCTTCTTGAATGAATTTATTTCCTTCTATTGCTTTTAAAAGCCCCACTAGAATGTAATCTCTCTGAGAGTAATTTTGTGCCTAGAACACTGACTGACATACAGTAGGTACTCAATATGTATTGACTGAATACATGAATGATGACCAGATAGGTGTCTCTGAATTAAATCTATCTCCTGAGCTCCAAATATTTAAATATTTTTTCTATATCTCCAGGGGATTCTAAAACTCACTACACTAAGAGCAAAATTCTTATTTTTCCAAACCTACCCAAACTTTGTTGCTTATCTGAAAAAAAAAAATTCATTTTCCCAGTTGTCAAACCAAAATTCATGGCTGCATCTTCAACATTTCTTTTGCCTCTGTACAATACAGCTAGCACCAAATTCTGTCAATTTTCTCAGGGAATTTGGAGGCCACATATTTTGGTGTTTTTCAACTTTTTAAAGACTGAAACAAAACAAAACCCTCTACATTAAAAATCAGTTTTCCCTCTAACAACTTACAGCTCCAGATCTTAGATTTAAATCTTTAGTTCATTTTGATTTGGATATTTTTGTATGTGTATGGTGTAAGACAAGGGTCCAGTTTCATTATTTTGCATGTCAATATACAGTTTTCCCAACACCTTTTGTTGAAGAGATAGTCCTTTTGCCATTGTGTATCCTTGGCACCCTTGTCAAAGATTAATTGACTGAATATGCCTGGATTTATTTCTAAGTATTTTATTCCATTCCATGTAAATGTGTGTTTTTACACAGTTCTATATTTAATCACTATAGTTTTGAAATCAGAATGTGTGATGTTTCCATCTTTATCTTTTGCTTTGGCTCTTCAGGGTCTTTTAATTCCATATGAATTTTTGAATTGTGTTTTCTTTTTCTGTAAAAAAAAAAAGCCACTGAGATTTTGAGAAGAATTGCACTGAATCTGTAGATCCCTTTGGGTAGAATGGACATTTTAGCAATATTAAATCTTTCTATTTATGAACATGAATGCTTTTCTCTTTGTTTACGTCTTTTTCAATTTCTTTCATCAGTGATATATAGTCTTCAGTGTACAAATCTTTCACCTCCTTGGTCAAGTTTATTCCTAATTAATTTAATTTTTTGATGCTATCATAAATGGGATTTTGTAAAAATTTCATTTTCATATTATTTAATATTACTGTTGATTTTTTATATAATTTCTATAATTATATAGAAATGCAGCTGATTTTCGTATGCTGATGTTGCATCCTGAAGCTTTATTGTATTTGTTTTAAGTTCCAACACATTTTTTTGGAGTCTTTAGGATTTTCTACACGTAAAAATATGTTTTCTGAAAATAGAGACAATTTTAGTTCTTCCTTTCTGATTTTGATTATTTGACTTCTTTTTCTTGCCTAATTGCTTTGGCTAGAACTTCCAGTACTATGTCAAATTGAAGTGGCGATAGTGGGTTTTTGTGCCTTCTTCCTGATCTTAGAGAAAAAAGCTTTCAGTTTTTTACCATCAAGAATGATGTTAGCAGTGGATTTTCAGATGTGGTCTTTATTGGGTTGAGCTACTTTCCTTCTCCACCTAGTTTGTTAAGAGATTTTACCAAAAAATGTTTTGAATATGTCAATTTTTTTCTGCATCTATTAAAATAGTTATGGTATTTTAATCTTTTAATTTGTTATTATGCTGCATCATGTTAATTGATTTGCATATGTTGAAAACAATCTTGAATTTTTGGGATACATTTTGCTTGGTAATGGTGTATGATCCTTTTAATGTGCTATTGAATTTGGAATTTGGTTTGCTGATATTTCGTTAAAGATTTTTGCAGTGAACTTGGCAATGATTTAATGTATAGAAGACCAAAAGCATAAGCAACAAATGCAAAATTAGACCAGCAAAACTATATCAAATAAAAAAGCTTCTACACAGAAAAAAAGTCAACAGAGTGAAAGGGCAACCTATAGACTGAAAGAAAATATTTGCAAAGCATCCATCTAGTAAGAGATTAATGTACAAAATACAGAAGGATCTCCTACAACACAATGACAATAAAACAAATAATACGATTTTAATAGGCAAACATCATATATAGACATTTCTTCAAAAAAGACATACAAATGGTCAACAGGTATATGAAAAGATGCTCAGCATCACTAATCATGAGGGAAATAAAATCAAAACCACAATGAGGTTAACCTTTCATATGTTAAGATGTCTATCATAAAAAATAAAAATAAAGAAGATAACAAGTATTGGTGAGGAAGGAGAATAAATTAGAACCCTTTTTTTTTTTTTTTTTTTTTTTTTTTTTGAGACGGAGTCTCGCTCTGTCGCCCAGGCTGGAGTGCAGTGGCCGGATCTCAGCTCACTGCAAGTCTCGGCTCACGGCAAGCTCTGCCTCCTGGGTTCACTCCATTCTCCTGCCTCAGCCTCCCGAGTAGCTGGGACTACAGGTGCCCGCCACCACGCCCAGCTACTTTTTTTGTATTTTTAGTAGAGACGGGGTTTCACCGTGTTAGTCAGGATGCTCTCGATCTCCTGACCTCATGATCTGCCCGCCTCGGCCTCCCAAAGTGCTGGGATTACAGGCGTGAGCCACTGCGCCTGGCCAGTTAGAACCCTTTTACATTGTTGGTCTGACTGTAAAATGGTGCAGCTACTATGAATAACAGTATAATAATTCCTCAAAATTTAAAAATAGAATTTTTGTATGATTCAACAATATCATTGGGAGTATATAATTGAAGAAGTGAAATGAGGATCTCTAAGAAATGTATTTATTCTCATGCTCGTTGGAGCATTCTTCCCAATAGCCAAGATATGAAAACAACTAAATACCCACCAAAAGATGAAGGGATAAAGAACATGTAGTTTATAAATGCAACAGAATGTTACATAGCCTTAAAAAAAAGAGGAAATCTTGCCATCTGCAACAACATAGATAAACCTGGAGGGCATTATGCTTAATGAAATAAGCCAGTTACGGAAGGTCAGTACTGCATGATTCCACTTAAATTAGATATCTAAAATAGTCAAAGTCATTAAAACAGAAAGCAGAATGGTGTGTGCCAGGGTTGGACGTCGGGGAAAATAGGGATTTGTTGTTCAACAGATAACAAACTTTTAGTTATGCAAGATAAAAAAGTTCCAGAGATCTGCTGTGCAATGTTGTGCCTGTAGTTAACAGTATTGTATAGTGCACATAAAGATTTAAGAGGTAGATCGTATGTTA